TCTCATAAAACATCTCAGCATGTATCCATATAGGAATATAAAAATCATGTGTAGAGTTGTAAAACATGTATAAATCTCAATTTATGTATATTATTATTATAAGAGAGTGTGTGTTCGGCGAGTCTTGGCCTACACCTGCCGATATAAAGGAGATGTCTCCCAGTGACCTGTCTACCTTCCTGGAAAGAACAGGCTGGACGATGACCTACGAGGATAACTCCTCGGCAGGATGTACAATGGGTCACATGTGGCCTAAGTGCGTGGGCTTACACTCACCCTCCCTACTCTACAGATACAGAACAACCATTGTCGTTACAGTTTTTTTGTTTTATAATTCTCAAGTGATTCCTATAATTTTGAGAAAAGTTGCTCTTTCATCAAGAAAAATAGATATTATCAATACTGTTTCTTTATATCTCATACAGGGTGTTTCAAATTCGATAATCACCGTTGGGATCTCAGAAACTAAGAGAGATACGAAGATGGTTGAATTGGGTCAAAGTTGCGCATTTACCTGACTAACAGTATGAGAAAGTTCGTAAATTTCGAAAGGTTCGAAAATAAATTGCACTTCCACATTGACATTTTTTTCCTACTATATAATGGTGTTTTCAGATTTGCTATCCAACATTTTGCCTTCCGGCCAGCATCATCAACTTTATTTTTTCTTATGGGCGCTACATTGGATTCTTTCTGTTTTGAATAGAACCAGATTTTACCATTTCAATGATGTATCATAAGTTATCATTCTTTTTTGAAAAACTAGAGATATTGAAAAAAATTAATTCTTATCATGATAGGCTTTGACTTTGATGTATCATCCAATAATAATGATTATTAACGCTTCAGAAAGCTATTGTGACGCAAAACACGTGTCGTGGTTTTTGTAAAACCCTGGTATATTGATAAATCATACATAAACTGTATTAATTAGTTTCTACTGCACTAGTTTACTTAGTGTTTTTTCGAATGTCAAGCAACGTAGATTTCTTGTAAGTCCATCAAGTATGACCTGTATACAAAACCAAAATCACTGGACTAATCAAAGTGAATGTGATACAACTGTACCGGAGAAAGGCTTCATTCAAGTTCAAGAGCAATCCAACTGTGAATAATGGCAGTTTAATTGTCTATGTTTCAAGTACAACATTTCCTTTGGATGAACAAAATCTATATTTTTTGTTACATTAACATTACGATTTGTCTTATACGTCTAGATTTCAATTTATTAAACTAAGATAAAAAGTTTCTTGATAGGTTCTCTATTAAAATTATAATTTCTTCAAGGTTTTCACTATCAGCAATATTGAAATAACAGCAAATAATTTTGATGAATACAGATTTCCCATGTGATTTCTTAGTACTATAGATACAATGAATCAATTGGAAAACCAAGAAATTTTTCAAAAAATAACGTTGAAGTGATAGTTTTCAGCAACATTAAAATAACAGCAAATAATTTTATAAAGTGGAGAAATTGTAAAATTTCGAACCAAACATTGTCAGTTTTGGAAAGTCCTAACACTAGGATAAATTGAAAATACAACCAATTGTGGTACAATCAATAAAGTAAATTGCTTACTGCTGATGCTGATGGAACGAATCACCAGATTTTCAATGTTTTTGAAAAATCTTTTTTAACATCGTCAAGAGGACTGCGGTAATTGCAAGACTTTCCAGGGACAAAGGAGTTTTGGAAAGTACAATAGGACCTATATGATGATAATTGTTGAATTATCACAATACATTTTCTCCAAGGCTCAGCATGAGGAAAATTAACTACTCAAATAAATGCTCTTTGAGTATTTTTGAAGTTTTTTAAAAATAGGATCTGAATTCATTGGGCAGGAGATTGTAGAATTTAGCTGGGTTGTATGAGAAGCTGCTAGTAAAAACAGAAGTCCTGTGTTCAGAAATGACCAGCACCGACCTGTTTCTAGTGGAAAAGCTGTTGATATTTGAGAAAGAATTAAATTTTTTCAATAAGTAATGTGGCATCCGGTTTTCAAGAGTTTGTGGGTGTTTGTGAGTAGGTGTCCTGAGATTCAGCCAACCTGATTGCTTCATGATTTAGATACATTGAACATCTCTGCCTTCTCTGAAATCAATATTATTACTGCTTTAAAAAAATTAAGAAATAAACTCACCACAGGCGTTGACAATGTTCCTAGTCTTGTCATAAAGGACTTTATTGACGTTCTCTCTATACCTCTAATAGGCATATTCAACTTAATTTTATCAACTTGTACCTTCCCTGAACAGTGGAAAACGGCTCGAATTCATCCGATATTAAAAAAAGGCGACTCTAACGATATCACAAATTACAGGCCAATTTCAATTTTATGTAATTTTTCTAAACTCTTCGAGATATGTGTGCAAAATGTTATGTACTCCTGTATTCTGAAAGTTATTTCTCCTACTCAGCATGGTTTCGTACAACAAAGATCATGTATGACAAATCTTGCATGTTCAAATCAATATCTCTGTACGTACCTGGACAAGCAGAAACAAGTCGATGTTGTTTATTTAGACTTTCAAGAAGCCTTCGATCAAATAGACCAGTAAATTGACAAAATTGGGACTATCTAACCAACTTTTTACTCTAATTGAATCATATCTAGTTAACAGAAAACAGTTCGTCGAATATGAATCTTTCAAATCGGCTCCGTACGTAGTTACATCTGGGGTATCGCAAGGTTCCAACCTTGGACCTCTTTTATTTTCAATTTTCATTAATGACTTGACAAACTCTTTGAATATTCCTAGCCTACTATTTGCAGACGACATGAAACTATATTATAAAATCGACGACATTACTGACTGCCAATGTGTACAACATGAATTAGATGTAATCAAACTTTGCTGTAATAATAATCGTCTACAACTGAACATATCCAAATGTAAAATAATATCATTTACAACAAAAAGCGANTATCAAAGTTCACTAGCGTATAAATAGCGAGTACCGAATTCGAGAAAGCATCATAACATTATTGGATCTAGTGCAGTGCAAAACTAATTACTAGCTTGACCGTAGCTACCCAAGAAAATGGCTTCACATCTTCTGGTAAGCCAAATTGTATATTCTGGGTTGAAGGCATCAGGGTTTGAGAGTATTTGCTGTTTTGTGAAGTGTTATTCGTGGAAAAAAGTGACTTCAGTTGTTCGTTTTCTACATGAGGGAACGTTTCGAAACGTCGCCTCCATCTTCAATACTAATAGGGGAATGTTCATTGCGAATATGGGAAAATAATCAGATGGTCAGTAGATCACGATTGATGAGGTTTTGAGCGGAATCAATGTCAGTGAACTGAAAAGAGAAGTACAGTTGAGTATCGTCTGCGTAATGATGAATATTGCATTTTTCTACCGACTGATGGAAGTCACAAATATATAAGCTGAATAGTAATGGACAAAGGATGGACCCTTGAGGAACACTTTTAGTAACGGGCAGTCTCTGAGCTGATATCGTCCACCATAAGTCCAGATAAGTGGTTGATTGTGGTAAAACAGGTAGTTTTGATAAACAATTACAATTACAACTATCAATTATCATTTATCAATTATCAATTATCATCAACATAAATCAGCAGCATAACATAGCATGAGCCAAAGAATCAATAAGAAATTGAATTTGATGAAACAAATTGCAGTAAACAACAGCTTCAACCCTATTAAAATTCATCGCATTTTTGTTTAAAAACTTTTTAACCAGGTTATTAACCGAGTATACTTCCACAATAAAAAGACTATTAACAAAACAGACAATTAACATAGCATAGACAAGTCAAAAATGGACATAGATAACAAAATCAGGAGTCTACAAACTAACATGTGGAGCATGCTTGAAAGTTTATATAGGAAGGACTTGAAGAAATAACATAACATAAAAGATGTTTTGAACTGATAAAACCAATTTCACCTATGCTTGCCAGCTTTTCGAGAACAATTATGATCTCAACATGAACTACGACAAATTATTTGTTTTCCTATGAATGATATTGTATTGTCGATGTTTTTAAGAATCTAGCTTTTTTGCCCGAAATTATCATTTATCCAATTAAGTTTTAACATGAAATGACAATTTTATGTTTTTCTAGAAGTAGTTTTGTATTGTAATTGCTTTTTCAAAATCTACCTTCTTTGCCAGAAATATTCTTTCATCCAGTAAATTTTTGATATAAAATAACAATATTTCACCTATTTTCCTAGAAGTAGTATTGTATTGTAATTGTTTTTTCAAATCAACCTGAAATAATTATCTATTCAATCAACTTTTGACATAAAATGAAAATATGTCACCTGTTTTCTTGTAAGAAGTATTTTTTTCAAAACTTCCTCTTTTGCCAGTAATACTTTTCCATCCTCTTAATCTTCGACATAAAATGACAGTGTTTCACCTGTTTCCCTGAAAGTAGTATTTGTATTGCAATTGTTTCTTCAAAATCTACCTGTTTTGCCAGAAATATTCATTCATCTAGTCAATTTTGACGTAAAATGACAATATTAGAGCTGTTTTGAAATGTTCCTGCATTCTTAACAACAAATTGAAAAAGAGATGAGTCAAATTGTTACTATCGAAGTAGAGTTGAGAGTTTTCAATGATTCCATTTTAGGACCACACAATTTGTGATTCATTTTTATTTTGTTGAAATTTCAACATTGAAGTATAAACATGATTTTTCTGATCGAATATTTCATCTCAACATCCAATGAACTGCAACAAAGCCTCAGAAGTTTTCGCGAGATTTCTAAATAGTACTGTTCAAAAGTAAAGAAATTCTTTTGGCAACTGCTGCCCGCAAACATAATTTTTTTCATAATTTCTTATTCTTCTTCGGGCCTCCTCCTACAGCCAAGAGAAATAATCCAAGCCGGGGTAAATGCACCGATGCGAATTTTCTCACTTTCGTTACACCACCATGCTGTATGTATTTTTCCTTTCATTCTATATCAAAGTTCACTAGCGTATAAATAGCGAGTACCGAATTCGAGAAAGCATCATAACATTATTGGATCTAGTGCAGTGCAAAACTAATTACTAGCTTGACCGTAGCTACCCAAGAAAATGGCTTCACATCTTCTGGTAAGCCAAATTGTATATTCTGGGTTGAAGGCATCAGGGTTTGAGAGTATTTGCTGTTTTGTGAAGTGTTATTCGTGGAAAAAAGTGACTTCAGTTGTTCGTTTTCTACATGAGGGAACGTTTCGAAACGTCGCCTCCATCTTCAATACTAATAGGGGAATCTTCATTGCAAATATGGGAAAATAATCCCTAAAGTTCGTGTGGTGATTTTTTTCTGAATTGAAATTCAGATACTATTCTGATGTCTCTACTTTGCATATATTTTCTGGGAGAAACGAAAAGTGTAAAGTTGATAGGTATATTTTTGGTAACTATTTGGGTTTATTTTTCCAAGGAATCTTTCATTCAATTCAAAATATTCATTCATTCACTTTAGAAAATGAGTACAAGAAAACACTATAGTTGTTTTAGTAGAGAACCTATTTTTTTTCACTTGACTGAAATGGAGAGACCATTAAATTATATGATATAACGTTGAAAGCGTTTGTGAAATTATTATTACAAAACAAAATAATGCTGGATTTTTTTGATAGATTTTTACATTTGCTTTTGTTTCAAGATCAGCAGGTAGAAGAGTGTAGAACTCAAAAAGATATACATTGTAGTGACTTTAATTTATTAGATCTGGTTACATGAGGTTTCTGAATTGAAATTAAAAAGAGATTATCTGAAAAATAACAGTTATATTAAGCAAAAAAACTGAAATTACAATGAAATGAAATACAAACAATAACCGAAAATTCATTTTTTGGTTGGTTTGGTTGGTTTTCGTTGGTTGATTTTTTGGTTGTTGTTTTGCTTAATATGATTGTCATTATTCAGCTAATCTCTTTTTTGAATTTTTACAGATTCTTTTCGGTATTTCGAATCAATTCATATCATATTAGACAATGGAAGTTCGAACTAATGAAATGGAAAAAATCTTATGGCAACTGCTGCCCATAAATATAATTTTTTCATGATTTCTTATTCTTTTTCGGACCTCCTTCTACAGCCAAGAGAAATCATCCAAGCCGGGGTAAATGCACCCATTTTTTTTGACTTTTGTTACAATTTTACAATATTTTAAGTCTTCAAATATTGATCATTGAACATAATTATTCGCCCTAAAGCGTTTATGTCTTTCGGACATTTGGAAAATTACTGTTTCGAAATCAACTATCAAATATCGATAAAAAGTTTCTGGATTGAGAGCAAAATAAAGAATATCATACTCTATATCTAAAGCTCCCACCGAACCAAAATTCCTAAAACTCTTGAATACATTTTGTTGAAAAATTCGTAAATGTCCTGAACATGTTATATTTTGCAATTGCATGAACCCTATCCTCATATCTTGGTAGGTTAAGAAATGCAATATATAGTTTCCACAATAATTAATCCAATTTCAACATTACACTTTATAGATGATATCAAATGCATGTATTGATCATCTGGTAAAATTGTGATAAATTGTAACAATCAAAATTCGAGAATTCATGGTTGGTAATGAATAAAAAACTAATTGAGCTAAATCGAAAGTTACTATAAATATGTTTTATTATTTATGACAAAATCAACCAAACTTTTTTCTCGACTCTTCAATAAAACTGGATTCCAAGTCGACCACCTAGTATTAACAAACACAAACAATTTTAAATACCATTCAAATTGATTCTTCAGCAATGTTAGGCATATAGGTAAAGCATCGTTTTTATTTCATTTTAAAATTCTTTTGATGGCATCAAGACTTGACATAACGTACACTCTTCATCACAATTCTCTTATCAGCTTTAAGAAATTTCTTATTCGTTTTTGGAAACGCAATCAAGATTATTATATTCATTTTTTAACCTTCAGAATGAACGAATCTTTATCAATAATAAATTGTGCATATAAAATGATGAGCAATCTGAATAGCTGGTGGTTATTACAGGGGTGCCACAAAGTTCAAACTTGACTCAGTATTACAAACTCCCCTCACTATCTGAGAAGTTGATCTATTGAGACTTCAGTGTGGCCACATCTTCCAGTTTTCAAAAATGGTTTCAAAACCGAAGCCAAATAGTCGAACAACTAAAAACTTCAAAAGTGGTTCAACTCGGACTTAACAGCATTTCAGACTGCTGACCGTGAGAAGTTATTCGAATATATAATATACTAATAACTCGGACTTAACAGAATTTCAGATTGCTGACAGCGGAAAGTTATTCGAATATATAATGTACTAATAACACATTTCTTTGTCAAATAGTCAGTTCAATAATTATTTCTGTATTCATTGCAATACAAAATTATAAACCCATTCCTTTTTCAGGTTGCTTCAATTGTTGTCCTAGCTCTTCTCGAAGTTTGTCATGCTGGAGGCTATGGAGGAGGAGGGTGAGTTTTTCTGATTGACTATAAAGTTTTTGAAAGTGTTAAGCCCTTGTCGGTGTGTAACTTAGCAGACATCTCCCCCTTCAAATACGCCATCTATGTTATTGACAGAAAACTGAAACCACGAATGTCACTAATGAACGAGGTTTCCAAAGGCAGTTTGTTACAAAGTAAGGCTTCGACATCGATCGCCGAAGGAAATTCGCCTTATATCTGTCTTTGCAGCTTCAACTGCAAGGCAACTAGTTGACAATAAGAGCATGAAACAATATGCCAACACCGGACAGACGTAGGTCTCATCATGACTGAACTTGTCTTTTTCGAATATTACTGGAATTTTTCCCAACACCAAACCGTTTCTTCAAAACCTCGACACATGTTTCGATCACCAAGTAATCGTCTTCAAGTTTAATCTTCCTTTTGAAGATGATCACTTGGTGATCGAAACGGGTGTCAAGGTGTTGAAATAACGGTTTGGTTTGGTCGAAACAGCTCTGTGTGCGGTTGGATCACAAATGTTTTGTTTTTGGGCTTTGGTTTCGATTAGTTCCCTTGCAGTGAGAGCTACAGAGAAAGACAGAACACGGCGGTCGATGCCAAAGCTTGACTCTGCAAAAATCCAATTTTGGAAGCCATAGCTATCGTTTTTTCTGATTTGAGTTGCCTGTTCGACATCCAAGTATTGCAATGAGGAAGGAATCATGAGCTGCGTTTGTTGCTTAGATTCCTCTTCTAGTTGGAACTTTTTATTTCTGCTATGAAGACTGAAACTTTGGACTGGAGTATTGGAATGAGTAATTCCAGTTAATAAGATAAAATGCTGAGTTTTTGAATTTTGAAATTCAATTAGTTTCGTGAATACCAATTATGAACCAACTCGATAGTAGATTGCAAATGTTTTAACAGTCTGATATGGATTCAATTTTTACGTCAAGTTTCATATCGTCAGTAAAAAATCAATTCGAAATATGATAGGACTGATATAGATCGTTATAAGAATTATTAATGGCAAGGCCCCTGAGTTAGATTGCTGTGTTATACGCTATTGAATTGTGTGCGGAGAGATTAGAAGAATCCAACCTAATACACAAGTCAATAAAAAATTTCTCGGACATTCAAGCGGCGTTGGAAGCTCTTGGCTTCTACCGAGCAACGTCTAAATTGGTAGCAAATTGCCAAAAACGAATCTCCTCAATAGAAAGACATAACAGATTGTCTCTCGTCTGGATTCCTGGCCATACTGGCCTGGAAGGCAATGAGGCTGCTGACTCCCTTGCAAAGGAGGGTGCTGCAAGCAGCTTCATCAGACCAGAACTTGTCATTGGTATCGCTTGAGGTTTTGCCAAACAAAGACTGAACACCTGGATGGCAAGAATATTTCTGGCAGAATCTTCCAGGATTAGCTCACTCCGTTCGAAGGCGTTCATTTGCTTTCGAAGCTTGATACCAAACACTCGTTGGACTACAGTTGGGATGATCTACGATGTCTAACAGGCCTTCTTACAGGTCACTGTCATTTGAATCGTCATATGCAGAGACTCAGACTGTCGAAAGACAGTGTGTGTGTGTGTGTCACCTCTGTTTGGAAATGATGAAACAGCAGAGCACATACTTTTTGTCTGTTCCGCTGGAGACCGAATCAGGTTTTTAGAGTTCGGCCGAACGCCACAATAAACCCCTGCGGGTTGCGGTGGAGGGTCGAATAGATCTACTTACTTTGGACCTAACCTACACCTGAACTAACTGAATAACTAGAAGATTTGAATGACTCGTATTCAACTACCTGCTTTCCGTGAAATCCATGTTTTTTGGTTTAGCCAGAAGAATGTAACGATCTAATTCATCAAAGCGTTTCTGGAAATCTTTATTAATAACACCGACTTGACCTTGAGAATGGAGCAATTATCACACACATTATTTGAACATGCTAGGTTGGTAATGCAAGACTTATGTCGCATGAAACCATGCTGATGTGCCGATATGGTATATTCACCTGTCAAAAAAATTTTTTGAACGCAAATTTCAAACATCTTGTACACTGTTGAAATTGCTCGGTAACTTTGAAAAAACTAGGATCTCCTTTTTCAGAATGGGGCGCACATGAGCAGTTTTTTATTGTGAGTCAAACCTGAAAGAAGTTATAATAATATGACAAATAATCATAGAGGTTCACATATTGCACTAATTCAATCCTTAACGATGAACATGTTGGGATCCTTTCATTACTGGTAGTTTAATTGTTCTTGAATTTTTTAGACACCTTGAATACATTTTCAGTACTGTTATTATTAACGGTATCCATAGCAAGTGAAGAACTTGCTGTTAAAAATATCAATTTCAGTAATTTCTATGACGAGTAATTTCTATCACGAGATTTTGTGTGACCACTTTGGCTTTTCTCGGAAAGCAATGCCACTCTCAAGAAGCTATCTGGGAAAATCGTACTCAAAAAATTATCAAAGGGAGTGTCACAAGGATATATCCTTGGGCCCTTGCCTTTCAGCTTGTACATCTGAGATTTTCATCAGTTTGTGAAAAAATGCAATATACATCACTAAGCCGACGACACGCAGTTATATTTATCTTTTCCGCTTCGAGATTCTACCTCTGCTCAGTCATATATTGATAAGGATCTTCAAGCCATCTTTGATATTTCTACAGCCCATAAGCTCAAACTCAATCCTAATAAATCTGCAATAATGATGTTTGGGCCCAAGACGAACAGAGAGCTCACAACTCAACTTTTCAAGTCAGCATCGGAAATGAAAAACTTCCTTCCGTGACCAAGATGAAAAACTAAGGACTGTGGTTGAATCCAGAACTTCGCTTCACTGAACAAGTCAGCTAACTGAACCGAACTGAACACATCTGAACGGAACCGTTTCGTCAAATATTTCATAGAGTTCAGAATGGAGTCTCCTACATTCTATCTCTACATCTACATATCTCTACAAATCAGACCAATCTGCTTCCAAGATCAATTTGAACATTGTAAAAAACCTTTCTTTTGATAAATAATGCGTTTCAAACTCATTATTGAACTCATGTTTCTCTGTAAGGAAGCGACTAGCATGATGAAAAAAAAACAGTTTGTTGTCTTCTTTAATACGTGCTTTAAATATGATTCCTGTTTGACGTATGTTGAACATCATATATAGGGATTTACTTGCGCAGGTGCCTGATGGTTTTACTTCAGCTTTCTGCGCGGTATCAGCTGAGTTAGTTGTTGTTTTTCCGTTGACAATCTATAGCTAAGAAAGCTGTAGATTCAATAGGGATCAATTGCAATGTATAGTACGTTTGGTACACGAAAATTGGGCTCTGCGACGAATCCTAAAGTACCGGGCGAATGTAAATGTACGACTTTTATTTGTAATTTAGCGAAATAACGAATTTACGAGTGAAAAAAGGTAATGGACTAATTCCAAACCCAGTAGCTACAGTTTCAACTACGCCAAAATGATGACGAGATTTTCTTAGCTTCAGAAAATGATCATTCTAATTCAAATTTTTAGGAATTCACATGGACCGGAAGCTGGAATAGTCCAACTTCCGGTCCATGTGACCGTTATTTATTCTGTACGTATAATCGAAAAAAATATTAATACAGCTATATCAATAACGGCAAGAGCCATTAATTTTGCTCATTTCAATAGTTTGCTTCAATATGGAATGGAATTCTGGAGTAGGTACATCAACTAAACATCAATCCATATTCATAACAGAAAAAAGCAATAAGCATCTCATTTGATTTGAAACTAAGAGAATTTGGCCGGTCTAAGATAAAAGAAAAAAAAGGCTTACTTTAACAAGTTTATAAAATATTTATTCAAAATACGTTCCTTACTTAATACACAAAAAAAAGATATTTTGACACATTATTCTGACGTACATACGTATATGACTCGTTTATATATATTTAGGTTATATGTAGTTATGACGCGAAATGGACCACTATATAACCGTATAAAAATATATAATCATACACCATCGAATATCAAAGAGCTGCCTAATCGAAAATTTTAAGTTTTTCTCAAGAATTTACTTCACAGTCATGTCTTTTATAATATCAAAGGATACTTGGGAGTATCATTCGAAACATTCAATGAAGCACTTTCTACGAATATTCTCATGTGCCATTTGGCCCAACCTACCCGTAAAATGAAAGTATATATTGTAAAGTCACTACTGTTTTGATGTATCTGTTAACTGGAAATGAATCTGTCTGTCTGTGATACAATTGAGTGCACCGCTCGGTGACCTAACTTGAGTCCTGTAGATTTATTCTAACACATAAGAAACGAAGGTTATCGTTTTCCACTGAAAGACGAATATTTAATATATGTTTCGAAATAGCATAGAAAGTTCCAGAAAATGCACGACAACGGTTTCAAGATAACCTCTATGAAGCCTGGCGTGAAATGAGAAACGCATCTTGAATATTCTTGAACTAGAAGGGAATGACCGTGACAGTAAAAATCATAAATGTGCTCGATGTAACACGAGCAGAACAATCATTTAATAATTAAAATATATATATCTAGTTAGAAAGTTGATTGCACCTTTTTATCTCATTATGTGGATCACTTTCGCTCATATCACCGTTGAAGTAATGGCATCTAATGATTCCTTTTTCTTCAGAAGCGATTCAAAATATATATCCATTTCGATAAAAAACAACTTTCATTCAAAAGAAATTCAAGGCGGATTAATCTCGTGACAAGGTGCTGTTACGCTTGAGTTGAATCGGAGAGAGTTAATTGTGATCAATTGCTTGCAAGACGATCAGCTCCATTTCTCCTGGTTATCTTGTTTTACTTGCATTTCTGTAGATTATTTCAATAATGACGGAGAGATAACGAGGCCGTTTCGGTGATAGAAAGCGCAGCTGACAAAAAAATTAACGTTAAGATGGTTCCAGCATACCAGAATATGATTTTTGACAGTCAAGTATGGAAGAAAATCAATTGAATTTTCTCTCATAACTTCTACTCAGTAAATAC